AGGTTTTTAATCTATTCAAATAAAATAGACAGAAAAGTTTAAAAAGTAATTTTTTAGATTTCTTTGATTTTGAAATTTTTCAATTTTTTTAATTTTTGTTTTGCAAATTAGTTTCACTTAAATTCAATATTAGGGATCATTGGTGGGTCATTGAAGTAAGTAAGTAAATAAGAAGGTAAACTCAATTTTTTGATGCATAAGCTTGCAGTAAAACAAGTAGTTATCAGTTCAATTCAGTTTTATTATTGTCACTGCTATAAAATTAATTTTACGACCAGTGCTATCAGAAATAATAAAATGATTGCTCGTCAAATAAAGATTCCGATGCTAATAAATTTGAATTGACCTTGATAAGATTAAAAAGTGACACATCTGAGTACATTTGATGAGTTAAAGCTGGAAAGGTTTGAGATTTTTGAGATATTCGATTTTCAAACTTTCTGCAGCCATTACTGAACCAATTAAATGGGAAAAAGGTCACAATTGATCAATTTCAACATGCAGAATCATCTGAGGTAGTTGTGGCTTCTTTTGTCAGTGCTACTCAAGCTATAATCCACGATAAACAATCTGTAATGCTTACTAAAGGTCCCTTCTAAGTTATTTATGTTCTTGGAGGTTTAAAGACACGACAGAAGTTTTCAAAAGAAGCTTATGCTTCAAAAAGTTCAATCAATTCTTCAGGTCACACTAATCTCATAAAACTGCAACAACTTATTGACCCAAGCTTCTCTAAATCACCACAAACATGAACTTTTGTTCCCATGACACTTCTATAAACTGCAATCTTAAATGTTTCTGTCTATAAAAACAAAAGAATTCAGCACTTTCGCACGCTAGCATTCATGATTTCACCTCAATTTACGATGCACAGCTGATAATAGCAGCACAGCAATCAAAGTCTATTGACCGCGGAGATTTAATTTTTTTATTTTTCAGTACATGCCAAAGTGTAATTAAGCTAATGGAAGACATGAAATTAGTGTTGAATGTAGTTCAGAGTTTGAACTGATTTTAGTGATAATTGGAAGTGCTGGAAACATTTTTTAAAATTGCACAACTGCCAAAAAAAATTATTTTTTTATTCATGTCCTTTAAAAACTTCCTGCAAAAACAAATGCATTTCCTGCATTCTACTGCCCTAAATTCTAGTCTTATAAAAATAAATTTCAAATTCCTCCCCATTTTGCTTTACTTTCTCCTCATTTAAAATGTTTATTGATTTTTATTTGCACACATTTCCATGGAAGTTTGAACTATTTCGAGTGATTTTTGTGCTTTAACTCATTTTTATGAATTATACCAAGAACTAGCCAAGGCGTATACACTCGAGACTAATACAAAAAATTGTTACAAATTCGATTCCCAACGAACCCGACTTGTTTTACATTAGTAAACACATATGGTAGTTATACGGAGATTTACAGATTGTCCGACTTGAAATTCTGCAGTTGGACAACTTAGATTCGACCAAATTCTTCAATGCTGTCATTTGATTCATGTTCATTGAACCAAAAAAATTCCTAAACGGTTTTCCTGAAGTAAATTCCTGAAGTACCAAATTGAACTAATCATTTTATTACCCATTGTGTCTATTTTTATTTGTGTTTCATCTTCAAATGCTCATAATAACAACAATAAGCTACAAATTGGAACCACATTGAGCACCAAAAAGAAGATTTCTTTTTATTTATAACTCTAATTCATAACTTTAGTTCTTCATATTATTTTCAATCTTCAAAGATTTATTTATTCCCAAGTTCATCAAACTTAACTTCTTAAAAATTAATACATTGTAAGCCTCAATCTCGTCTGGCATGCAAATTAAGCTCATTGCAATTCTGAGAACATTTTTTTCTTTTACAAATTGCAGTTCAAATTTATTTTAAACTTCGGTAAAGAAAGGTTAATGTTATGGAAATCTCATTAAATAAGCAAAGTAAATGCACAGAATGTGATGTGAATTTTTGAGGAAATTGAAGCTTTTGTTGTCGGAAAGGTGATGATTTAAATGATTAATATTAATTTTGAGAGTTCTTTGTTGTTTTTGCTGTTGAGATTATTGGAATTTTCAGGGGATCAATGAAAGGACGTGGAATTGAAGTAGGGATTAAAAGAAAACAAAAAATCGCTTCAAACTTAAAAGTTACAATGTGAGAGACTTTAGGGTGAAAGAATTGGAAACTAAGTGGATCATGATCTTTATAAATTCTGACACTGATATGGCAAAAAGTCTCAACTCCGTAAAAAATGACTGGCTTATTTTTGACTAGATTTGTACCAACTACAAAGATTTGAACTCTAATTATTCAAATAAAAGACCCGCAAATACAAAATCCAGTTAGATTTTCAATCTTTAATTTTATTTTCAGAACCCCTGACCTCCTCAATATTCAGTAAAATTCCTGAGTCACTTCCAAATCTAGCACAACCAAAAAGTCTTCTTCCCATTTTTTTTTTTTGATTGAGAATTTAGAATTATTTTTATACTTTTTTGAATAGTCATGCTCATGGGAATTAAGTAAGATGTGAAAAAATTGCTCAATTCTTTCACTTTGAGTTGTTTGATGCTTTGCGTGTAATGAGAAGAAGATGAAGATTGTGGAATGTATGCGATATGGAATTAACGATAATTCATTAGTGCTCAGTTCATTGCATATTACTGTAATTGATCGTTTTCTTTGCTGCTTGAGATTTTTATAAAGAAGATGAAGAAGTTGTTGAGTTGTGGAAGTTGGGATTTTGGGGGAATTGATGATAAGTTTTGGGTTAGATTGAGGAAGTGTGTGAAGGGTCGAGATGAACCGATGTTCATTATCCTAAGAGTCAATCTTAAAGCAATTCCGGAAAGTCTTTTGGACATCGAGTCATTCAAAAAATTTTGAGTTCATTGACTTCAAAACAGCCTTACATAACCTCAAAATTTCCCATCCACAAACTTTTTTCACACTTTTTCTTTAACTTTCCAAAAAAATATTTTTTAACATCCACAAAAAAAATTTCGCGACTTTTACAACAACGTCAGTCATTCATCAAACGACTTTACAATTTCCTCGTAAAATTACTTTTTTTTGTTCCACATGCTGCAATAAAATAACATTTCACAGCAATATCACTGAACTTTTTATTGCGATAATTTTTTCATAATCTTGAATGACAGACGTTTAGATCTTGTGGAGGCACAAATGTGCTATTTTTATGATCTTTTTCATGCCTTATTTGAAAAGAATTTTTTGTGATGTTTTCTTTTGATTTGTTGAATAACTTTTTAAGATTTTTTAAGATCAAAATCTTTGTGTGCGGTACTTGAGAAATTAGAAATGATTTTTTATTTTTTGAAGATCTGAATTTTTGTAGATTCAATTTCAATAATTCATAAATTCAACTTCAATATCCAATCCATACATAAAATCTAATGAACACATAATAGACCCAAAATGTGTTAAATATCTCAAATTTCATCTAAAAAATTTCACTCTGAAAAATGCAGCAATTAACCCCAGCAAGAGCAAATTTCATGTTAACGGTGCTTATTTATTTATTTAAAAACTTATTTTAATTGCAGAATTATGAGATTTGTTGAGGCATAAAAAGTACAGCTACAGTCATGTAAAAACAGCATTAAGCTGATGTGTAAAATGTAGACGAGAAATTTCTCGATAAAAAATGTTAAAAACACCTACAAAAATTGTAAAAAGCTAGACTAGGTTCAGTTTCAATGTCGTGCTGTTGTTGTTGACAATTGTGTGGACTGGATGATTTGGGATTGAGAATAATTGTTGTTTTTTTTGGGTTTTCAATATCAACAAAATTATGGGTTGCCCAACTGAGCACTTTTAAGCGGCACAGTCAAGCTTTTTTACGTATCCCAATTTTTGACCAAAAATCGACAAAAACCGATTTACAGCCCAACTCATCTCATTCAGAAAAAAACCGTTTGAACCGCAACTTTATTTATATTTATTTACAAAACGAAAAAAAACATACAATTTTCTCATGAATCATTTTAAGATTTTTTCGTTTAATTTGTTCCATTTGCACATATGTCTGCAGACGTATGACTGCAAGCCTATCGTCTTTAACATGATGATGAGTAATGCATGGAGACATAAGAAGTCTTTTCCGTCACTTTTCTTATTTTTAATTGTTGTTAAATTTAGAATTACTCAAATGAGAATTTTTTCATGATTAATGCAAGGGTCCGGAACTGATCAAAAATGATCAAAATTGATCAAAATAGTGAAGGAAATTTTTGGACCTTTTGAGTATTTTTTTGACTTTTTGAAGATTTTTGATTTTTTAAAAACTTTTTTAAAGGATTTTTGATAAAAATTTATATTTAAAAATTCTCAAAATTTCAAAAATTCGATTTTATATTTTTATTGTTCTTTTTCAAGTTTTTCATGAAGTTGAGACACTCGGTGACCCTCTGGATCCTCTGAACTGACAGCGAAAGAAACCTTAATTTTCAAAAAGGCCAAAAGTTCAGAAATTGATTAAATTCATTCGCAAAATTTATTTTAATCTCATTTGACCCAACTTAATTGCATGTGACAATTTATACAAGTTTTTGTAATTTTTTTCAGTCAACTTTACGTGACATTTTGTGGATAAATATGACCGACAGGTACGCGTAGACATGAAAATTATTCAGTGTATTTTTTTCCCTAATTTTGAAAATCAAATTGTCTGATTTTTTAATAATGGTTTTGTCAAAATTTTAACTTTCCACAATTTATAGTCAATTATTAATTCAGACTGGTTCATAAGATACACTGGTCAGCATATCAATCAGTTCTAGTTGTCAGAAAATCTGATTTATGTTTTGCTGATTAAAAAATCATTTTTAAGTGTAAATTTAATTTTTTCAAACTTATCACAGCATTTTTTGTAAGTTGCAGAACTTCAAAAAATCATAACTGAGCATTTTAAAAACTTTTAAACAGAATTTAACACTAAAAACCCCAAATAAAAAAATCCTAAATCTAAATTAAACTCACCATTATTACTGATTTTTAATTTTATTCAAAAATTTCCACAAGAATAAAAAAATTCAAATTAAATTTTTTTTTTGCACAATCACAAAAATTCCACTCAAGAACTTTTCTTCAATATCTTTAAAAAATAAGAGCACTAACTCACTAGTGAGAACTTATTTGTCCAATTAATTTGTCAGCGATGGAACAAATGATGAACAACTTATGAAGTCATTCAAGATGTTCGCGTTGCCTTTTATAATTCCACAAAAAAAAACATCGGCACCGGCTTTACAAAGCATGCGTTACGAAATTAGCCGAGTTGAGAGACTTTCGTCGGCATTTCGATCGTTGTTTTTGTGCATTTTTAGGCTCGGCTTTTGTTGATTATCGTACTGGAAAATGTTCTTTGATTGTTTTGGTGAAATGTTTTGAGATTTCTGAGGGAAATTTATTGTTTTTTTGATTATCGAGAATTATTATTTGCTGCTTATTATTGTTATTACTGTTATTAAGAATTTGTTTATTTACATTTTTATGTTCTTTGTTGTTTTTTATTAATTAAATGATTTGTGGCTCGTAATTTATTTGTATTTTTAATGTAATGCATTAAATGATGATTATTGAGAAGATTGACGTTAAATTGGTGAGATGAAGTTTCAGATTTATGAGAGGAATTGAGAGAACTACAATGCCATGCAGACGAGAATCTCGTGCTGTCTGCATTTTTATCAGTGGTGGGCAACCTTTTTCGAGGTGTCGTTGCATCTTGATGGAAAGTCATGACTAAAGCCGCACACAGCATACGATTTTCGGGATTATTAGATATTTTCGCTGCACTCATTGTGTCGGGCAGGGCTTTTTAAGTGAGAGGAGTAGTTCATAAGAAGTTTTTTACTGTCAAGTTTAAAATTCTGGTTTATCAGTCTCATATCCCTTTGAGTTTAGTCAATTCTTTCATTCTAATTTTGTTTCATTTAAATTTTCAAAATTGTCGAAAAATTCAAAAAAAATTAAAAAAATTTTGAAACTTTTGTTTGAAAAATCGTAAACTTTCTTCAATTTAAGTGAATAATTTAAACAAGCGCGAGTAATCTTATTAAAGTAACAGCCGCAAGCTTCAAACTTATTCAAAGTTTTCTATAAGCAATCAAAGCACCCGAAAGTGTTTACTGAAGCAGTTTTTAAGGAAATTCATCATTTGTTATCCGAAAGTGATTCAAGAAACTTGCTGATAAGTTAAAAAAATCCAATCAAAATTTGGTAAAATCTTGGAAAATCCCCTCAAGCTTTGATGAATTGTCTCATAACAAGCTTTAACCTTTTTTACACGATCTGTGGCTTTTTGACTCATTTTGAAGCAATCAGACACCACAATCGCTTCTAATTCATCCAAATCACGACAAAAAATTCCGAAAATTCAAATCTTTTTTACCTTTTCTTACAATCGTCACTTCCCCTATCCGTAAACATTCTACACCCATCATAAACTATTAAACCGTTCACATCTCACATTTGTAACGTTCCCAAATATTTTTTTTTGTGTAGTTGAAAAAGAACAGAGAAGAAAAAAACTTCGACAAAATTCCACGACAGAAAAAAATCAAATTAATAAATTTGTAGCATCCTTTGGACTAGCATTTAAGGACCAACCAGACAAATCGCAAGTGTCAATCTTGAAGATTTGGTCGAAATAAGAAAAATTCTAGCATTTTATTCTCAAACTTAATTTTTTAAGGTAAGAAAAATAATTTTTTTTCATTTCTTTTGTCACAACTACAAATGCACTTTGTGACGCCGACAAAAAAATAAACGTCGAGTTAATTTTGCAAAAAGGTCTTAATTGAGGTGTGAATTTGAGATGATTCTCGATGATGTCATCTGGAAGTGCTCAATATTTTCTCAAAAAATCATAACTTTAGTTCCAAAATTTCACAAATAATCCATTGGATTAGAAAAAAACACTGCAACTTATGGACTGGATTAGAAATTACGTGGCAGTAAATATTCAAATATTTATTTTTTTTATCTACTTTTTTAGTGCATTCGAAATGGGTCTCACAATTTCAAGTGTCCTCAATCGGCTCTTTGGCAAGAAGCAAATGAGAATCTTGATGGGTAAGTTGAGCATTTAAAGTTGGAGATTATTTTTTTTTTAATGTTTTCGTGGTTCCAGTGATTTTTGTGTGTCTAGAAGATTAAAATTGATTCTGATGTGATAAAACTGGAATTTTTGTGGACATAAAATGTGGATAGTCTAGAGTTATTGACATTTAAAAGTTCTATAAATAGAACGACTGAGTTTTCGATTTATTAAGGTTTGATTCGTGTGATTTATTAGTAATATGAGTCATGTAAGCCTGATTAACACACTTCGATTAATAAAATAGAAATCCGGCACCAAAGCAGGTGTAGCTCTGTCATGGTGCTGGATTTAAATCAAAGTCAGCATCATGCTAGAGTCATGCCGGATTTCTTATCGATTAACCGATTTGTGCTTTTCAGGGTGGGATTTTTATGTGATTTATGTTGAATTACAAAATGTTATAATGCAGCTTATGTTGTTAAGTTGGTTTATAAACATTGAATGAATAATGTAGAGCAGGAACATATTGACATAGTGGAGATTGGGAAGGCATGGGTGTAGCCAGACTAATTTTTCATATGAATTGTTTGACTTTATGATTTTAAGCCTATGATAGATAGTGTGTCTAATTAAGTGGTTCAGGTAAGCTAGTTTAAAAATAATGTCCAGTATGGTGGTGTGGTTGAGCTTTGTGAAGTTTAAAAAAAAGGAAGTAGCGAAAGGGTCTAAAAACATTGATTTACGATGAACTACAATAATGCGCATCATCTCATGAATTACCTTTGATCAAACGTCTTCTTGAGAGTTTCTCACCTTTGCTAGAAACCCCTTCATTCAGTCCAGTTAACAGTTGCTATCTATATGACCTAAATGTATCTATGTAAGTTCCATTTTATGTCCTTCCTTCTTTCTATCAATAAATCAATCAACCAAATCATCCAGTGTTGAAATAAAGTTTCCTTTGACTAGATTTTGCCTTTGATCTAGTAAAGTCGTGGCATTGCAAAGGCACAAAAAAAGCAATGGTGAAAAAATTGACTTTGACGAAGCGAATGACTTGTGCCTTTGATTTCAAATTGCCTCCGACCTTTTTGAACTCAAGTGCTAAATATCAACACTGAAATCAACTGTCAGAACCATTTTATTAATTGATAAGTTCATGCACGAAATTCAGTTACTTTTGGATGTATTACACTCTTTTGTCAGTGTAGTCGAATTCCCAAGTGATGCAATGATATGCTTTAAACGTTTTTTAATTAACTTAAAAGCTGATTAGTTTGTCACGCTTAGCTACGCTTTCTTGATATGTGACTGAACATTTAGGAAAGCTTTTCGGTTGCAAGAGCTTAGTATTAGAAAGGAAATCAGGTCATATCTGTAGATGAACTACAGGAGCCAAGGCTAGTTATCAAATATTAAGATGTGAAGGAGATGCCAGTTCCAAATGTCAAATCTCATCCAGGGTTAATGACTTATGAGGGTGTTATCAATATTGATATTGATTGCTCTGACCAAAAAGTTCAACTTACTTCCTCGCATGACACTACAGATCAATTGTGATCCATGGTTTCACTCAGATGGCACCTTAAACTGGCTCTATCAATGGCTCGCGATTGCCAATTTGCAATACTAAATGCAATACTCTTTCCATGAGTTCTTTGACATTTGATGTGCTTTCTTGACTAGATGTCAAAGTCTGTTTTAAAGATCTAATTTAATGGAGCTTCCATATGGATATTAAATGAATTAAAGAAGAAAATAAAGCTTTTGTTTAAACAAAGCAAGTTTCTTTTAATTCTTCCTGTTTTGGTCATCTTCTGGAAACTCACATGACTCACAATCAAGCAAATCCCCTTCTTCTATACCCTTACAATATTTCAGCTAAGCTCTTCTTACTAAAATTCTCGGAAATATCACATTCAAGTGGATTTTCTTCCAAATCAATTAACAATTTCCATTTCTTCATTTCTCTGAGATTTATTATGACTCAATTTAATAGAACAAAAATAGCCGTGAGACTTTATTAGGTCAGAATTTGCATATTTCAATCAACCTATTTTCACAACTTCGTAATTTATATTTTATTTTTGCATCGTATTCGTACTTAGACAATAGAATTATTTTTTGCAAGTTGGCAAGTAGTTTGGGTTGATAAATAGAATGACTTATACTAGACAGTCTATAAATATGGACTATCAAGTAGGTTGAGGTAGTAAATACGTCATAAATCAGCCTTCAACCCAGTTGAATGTTTTTCTACTCACACAGAATTTTTGTCGTATTTTTATCAATTTTCAATTGAAAATCAATCATCTTATCTCCAACTTTACTATCCATACCTCTACAACTATACTAAACACTCTGTTCCATTTCAGTCGGTCTCGATGCTGCCGGTAAAACAACAATCCTCTATAAACTAAAGCTCGGCGAAATTGTCACAACCATTCCAACAATCGGATTTAACGTTGAGACTGTAGAATACAAAAACATTTGCTTTACGGTGTGGGATGTCGGCGGTCAAGATAAAATTCGTCCATTGTGGCGCCACTACTTCCAAAATACGCAAGGATTAATTTTCGTAGTCGATTCAAATGATCGTGAGCGTGTTGTTGAGGCGGAACGTGAATTACACAATATGTTGAATGAGGATGAGTTGCGTGATGCTGTGCTGTTGGTGTTTGCTAATAAACAGGATTTGCCAAATGCTATGAGTGCATCAGAATTGACCGATAAGTTGAGGTTGAACTCGCTACATAATAGAAGTGTGAGTAATTTAAAAATAATGTGTGAAGGCACCTGCATCTAGGATTCTGGTGTTAAAGCACCTGAATCTAGATAACCTAGTGTGAAGGCAGCTGAACCTAGAAAACTAGTGTGAAGGTAGCTGAACCTAGAAAACTAGTGTGAAGGCACCTCAACCTAGAAAAGCTAGTGTGAAGGCACCTAAACCTATAAAATTAGTGTGAAGGCACCTAAACCTATGAAATCAGTGTGAAGGCACCTCAACCTAGAAAAGCTAGTGTTAAGGCACCTAAACATATGAAATTGAGTGTAAAGGCACCTGAACCAATCAATAATTTAACTAATTCTTTCAAATTTCCATTCATTTTTAGTGGTACATCCAAGCAACATGTGCAACGCAGGGTAATGGATTGTATGAAGGCCTTGACTGGTTGTCCAAAGAATTAGAGAAAAAATAATTAACAGATCGATAGCAGCAAACAGCAAAAATTATAACAAGAAATGACTGCAGTGATAAGAAATGAATTTTTTTGTAAAATTATTCCCCCGAAAAAAAAATTTAAACCTTCCTGCTCGTCATTTTTATGCTCTAATTATCCATCCTGATAAAAATTTCTTCATAAATTAAAAATTATTGTTTGAAACTTCTTAAAAAAAAGTTTTTTTTGCATACTTTTGTTCGTGAGAGAAAAAGCTCATCTCAAATGTGAGAGATTTTTTTGTCAAAACTTTTTTCTTACCATAAAGAAAATTCCAAAAAAAGACATAATAAAGGTCGAAAAAAAGGCATTGTTGATGGCCAACAGAAAGAATTTTGTACAAAAATTTTCCAAATTTTCTCACTTTGAATAATTCTGTTTAAGTCCTTTTCTTATTATAATAATTTTTATTATTTTTTGTATTCAAGAATTAACCTGCATAGCAATTTATCTGTTAAAATGTATAATTTAAAATATCATTATGAGTAAAAAATTGAAAATAAAAATTCAAAAAATTAAAAGAAAAATTGAATTTTTGAAGTCAAGTTTCAGATTCAGGTGCCTTCACACTAGGTTTTCTAGGTTCAGGTGACTTCACACTTGGTTTTCTGTGTTCAGATGGCATCACACTAGTTTTTAAAAGTGCATGTGCCTTCACAGGAGTTCCTAGAGGTTCAGGTGCCTCCACACCAGCTTCTAGAGGTTTATGTGCCTTCACACTAGCTTCTAGAGGTTTAAGTGTCTTCACCTTAGCTTGTTAAGGTTCAGGTGCATTCACACTAGAATTCAGTTATTGACAGTAACATAAAATTTTATTTAAAGTTATCTTAACTATTTATTATTGATTTTTAATTATAGAAATTTCTCTTAGCTTTACAAATGTTTACAAATTTATTCAAAAATCTTAATTTATAGTGCATAGACCTCCTTATCCTAAGTATTGATTCCCTCCATGCTCATGCTGATGTTCTCTAAGTTCCACAATTACTCGAAATGCTTTTGGACACTTGTCACACTGATAAATTGCATCGCCAACATGAAGCTTCTGCATGTGCTTCACTAAGTCTCCTTTCGATGCATAAGCTCGATCACAGAATTTACATTCGTGGGGTTTCTGGAAGTTTTGAGTAATTATTTAGGATTCTTTAATTTTGTAAGTTTCAAGACACTTACCAATCCAGTATGAGTCATCATATGTTGATCCAATCGATGCTTCGTTGTGAATTTATGGCTACACTGTGAGCATTCATGCTTCCTTTCTAAAGTTCCATTATGTCTCTTCATATGCAACGACAGTCCCTCATTGTGCTTGAATGAGCTTCCACAAATTTCACAAACATGAGGTCGTTCGGTGCTGTGGACTGCTTCATGTCTTGTGAGTTTGGTTTTAAGGATGAACTTCATTGGACAGAATTTGCATTGGAACTTCTTTTCCTGTTCTTTATTGTGGACGTATCTGGAATGGTAAGGGAGTCAAGGTTAGTCTTGATAATATTATTAAGTAAGTTTTATGAACTGGGTCTAGACCCAGACTAGATACCCAGACTTACCTTATATGCTGATCCAACCCATTAGCCGAACTCAAAGACTTCGCACAAATTGGACATATAAACAGCGTCTCCTTATTGTGCTTAACCTTATCATGGATCTCCAAATCCTTAGCTGATCTGAACTTTTGTGTGCACTTCTTACACTCAACTTTATAGCAATCATATCTCTTATGATTCTTGACATGATTCAGAAGCTTGTCGTCAAATGGAAGTCTTTTCTTGCAGGTTAAGCACTCGTGAGTCTGTGGCTGTGCGTGGTACTTGGCATGTTCTAAAAATTCGATGAAATCTTTCAAGTTTTTGGGACAAAAATGACATTTAGTCTTTTCAGTTTTGAAAGAGTTCCTGTGGCCTTCTAAATGTTGATCTAGGTCAGTTTCTGACTGATGATCTTGCTCACATTTACAGCACTTGTAACTGACTTCGACTTCATGTGGCTCGACTTGTCGATATAGTTTACTGTGGATCATCATTATGTGATGGTTCATTTCCCTTTTGTCACTGAATTCAGCATCACATTTGTCACATTTTGTAGTTTCTTTATGCTTTGACAGCAGATGATTGTCGAGTCCACGCTTATGGAGGAACTTGGCATAGCAAATTGAGCATTTAATTTCTCGTTTCTTTGTGATTTTAAATTGTTGTTCCATCATTAAATGATCGTCAGTCATGTGATTCTCCATGCCTTCTTTATGGTCACCTGATGCTCCGCAGAGGTCACAGAAGTAAATCAGTGTGTCTATCTCATTTTCATGGACATACTTGTAATGAGCTTCAAACTCATCTTTGTCCTCAAATCTCTCAATGCAATATTCACATCCAAATGGATATGCAGCAGCACTGTGCTTCCTCATGTGCCTCAACATACTCTTTTTAGGCTTGATTTTCTTATCACAGAAGTTGCAGGTATACCAAATGTCTTCATATTCTAAAGATTCACTTCCTGGAAGTGGTCGTGGATGAAAATGTCTTTCTGACTTTTTCTTGTCTTTTGAAGGTTCTTCAGACTCAAAAGATTCAAATGTCACTGGAATCCTCACATTCATCCCATGATCATCCATCTTATGCTGCAACATTCCGATCTCCCTGTCTCCAGTCGCTGTACAAACCTCACAAATGAATATTTTTGGCTCACTTGGGTCGTGAGTATTCTCATGTGATGACTTTTTTGACTCTTCCTTGAAGCGTAAGATGCAAAAGCTGCAATAGAATGGATGAGTGATTGGGTCGTGTTTTGTGTACATGTGACGAAGGAGATTCTTTCTAGGTTTTTGTTTAATGTCACAAAAGTTGCAGGAATAGAACATGTCATCGTACCTAAAAGAAGATTGCAAATGTTTAGTTGATTAATGGTTTTGGTAGGAGTAAGGTAAGATTAATGAGGATAAGACTGGTTTTTAGGGCTGTTTGGAATCATAGTGACTAAAGGTCACATTGAGTAGCCAAATAAGCCAGCCTTTGGTTGAAGTATACACCAAACCGTATTCTTTATACTCATTTTAGTACACTATGTCCTTTTAGACTCCGTTCTTCGACTTTACCTTAATGTATCACATATTAAAGGCTATAGCTAACGAACTGACTCCTTTATCCTCAATACTGTATACTCAATAAAGTATAGTGTATACTCAATACCGTACACTATAACCTATACCATCTGTCCTTTAAAATACTTAAATTAACTCACCTTGCACCCTTATTAAGTGGCCTAGGATTGAAATTCGTTGTCTTGCCATCCTCCTCATCTTCATCTCTCTTCCTTTTACTTGGTTTAAATATTTTGTGGTCATCCTTCATGTGGTTCTTCATTCCTTCTTCGCTGATTCCGTTTACTCCACAAACCTCACAGATTATTGCCTCTGGAAACTCATTTATGTGCCGTACATTCTCATGTAAATATTTTTTGTCCTCACTTTTGAACCGTGCAGCACAGAAGTCACATCCGTGTGGCAGAAATGCTGGATCATGTTCCTGTTTCATGTGCTTTAACATTGCTTGTCTTGGCTTAGTTTGAATGAGGCAGAAGTTGCATTCATAATGTGAGTCGGAACGTCTTCCTGTGATTTGAACTAATCTTGGATTAAAAGTTGTTGCTGCAATTTTCCTCTTTTTATTAACTGGAACTAAGTAGGTCACATGCTCTGTCTCCTGCTCATGATATTCACCATCACTAATGACCTCAATATCATCAGGAATTGGAAGCTCTTCTTCCTTAATCTCAAACTCATCCTTAACTACAATTTGATCATTTGAGATCATCGAACGGAAGTACTGATCACTTTCGACGCACACTCGCTGAAGATTGAATGCTGCTGAGATGACTTCGAGGCAGTCATTACAGATTGATTTTGGGAGAAGTTGGCTGATCGGATCATCGAATGTGATGTCAATTGGACATGTTTTGGTGAGCATTTCTGATATTGGAACTCCTTCGTGTTTGGATTTGATGCTTGTTGAGTTGTTGTAGCAATCTTTGCGGCAGATCCTACAGAGGTCGTCCATTGTCTTGGGGTGCCTGAGATTTGGGACTTTTGGGGGGATTTTCAGATTTTGTTAAGAAGTTTTGTTGAATTTTAGGAATTTTGGACCAACTTTGTCAACTTTTGTGCTTCGAAGGTATGTTAAGATATGGAAGTTTTAAGCATTTTGAAGCTAGTTGCTTACAATTGACAGATTCGGTGCAGGCTTGTCAGAAGATAATTCAAATTTCATGAAGAACCGGATTTTTTTCGTAAGTTTTTGGAATTTTTTCTTATTGGAATTTTAAGTTTTTTTTTGTAAATAAATTTGTAAATAGTTTTGATCCTGTTTCACTCAAATTACTCGGTTTCGGTTTAAGTTCTGATGAAAAGCTTTGTACGAACTCAAAAGCAACTCAAACCTGCAACCTAAAATACAAGAATTATGTAAAAAATGAACGAAATTATTTTTTAATTTAAAAAATTTGAGAATTTTTTTGAAAATGTTTCAATTTTCACATTAATTTCTTGGCTTACCTTAATATTTACAATTTATGATGAAGTAGCTATCCTCTAATTCTATAAAAGTCAATCTTCAGTCCTCAAAACCATCAAAATATAGCAAAAAATTCAGTTTTCATAAAAATTTTATTCCTCAAACTGATTCCGATAACTTTTCTTCTTCTTTTCCTTTTCTTATAAAACATAAACAAATCCCGAGATGACTAAATTCTCATTCTGTCAAACTGTTTTGACATTTCGTGAGAGAATCAAGAGAGACAGCAATTGAGAGAGCGGCACATGCCACGATCTAATGTTTACATTCTCAGCCAGCTGATTTATTTTTTGAGAATTGTAAAAAGTTTTTGCAATTATTTTTTGAGAATTTTTGAGGATTTATTTGCTATGTTTTTGTACTTAATGGTGTGAATTTAAGAGTTAATTAGCTAAAGTAACAACAGTCATTGAGAATATTGAAGGTTTAAGCATTTAAATTAAGAGTTTAAGCAAATCACATTAAAATTGAAGGAAAAATCGATTAAAGGATTGTGAAAATATTGAAGAAAGCTGCATTTTTTGAGATTTTAGCCAATTTTAAAGAACTATCGGATAGAAGTGCCTTTAACTTGATTCAATGCTGCAGATTTATTTATTGTTCATCTAAAAACTTAAGAATAAATTGCCAATAACTGAAGAAATCAGAAAATCTTCAAATTAAAGTATTGCAAATTCAAAGAAGATCAAAAGATTGGAAAAATAATCAAACGACTCGACTGAACAACTCTGGATCGCCATACACTACCTCATTATCACATTAAAAGGAACATTAAGCCGGCAACATCTATCAAACCTTAATAAAAGCCTAGATAACCTCCTCACAAATGTATAACTTCACTGAAATCACACAAGACTACCTCCAAAACCTGGTCGACTTCCTCTACTCAATCTCATGGATGTACAAAGTCCTCAACACACAATACGTCAAAGAGAATGTTTTGTCGGAAAATCGAGAATTTTTATCACTTTTGGAGAAAATTGACTTGAATGAATTTGTGAATGCAAAAGAACCTCAAAATAATCATCCAAAGGAACTGCAGAAACTAATTGAAAATGTTAACTTCTTCAGAATTAATTTCGACATAATCAATACAGAATCATGGAAGTGCAACAATCAGCAAAAGAAAATGAGTGTCAAAAAGTTGTACGAAATTGAAAATATTGGTAAATTAATTAATGAAATTTGCAAGGATGAAGTCACAACTTTGGTGGATTTGGGGTCTGGGTTGGGATATTTGGATGAATATTTGCATACAAGTTATGGATATAAAATCATTGGACTTGAAGGAAGTGCAAATAATCAAGAACGAGCTGTAAAAAGACAAGAAAAATATTATGCTGAGTCAATTGGGAAGGTTAAGCATGTGCATCACTTTATTACGATGGATTCTGGAGATTTTATATTGAAGGAAGTTGATGATGTCAATAAAGTTGAGGAACTGACTAAAGAATCTGCAAATATTGAGAATAAGTCACAAGATTCAGATTCAGACCCTGCAAAAGTCGCCCTTTTCGGCCTTCATCCATGCGGCGACCTTTCAATTGTCTGCATCAAGCTGTTCCTTAACATCGATCGTGTCAAAAAGCTCATATTTAGTCCATGTTGCTATCATAAGATGAGTGGAACTACTGCTGACTTTGTAGAATTTAATTACTATCCATTGAGTCAAACTGTAAAGGAACTAGAGGCAAAATATCCAACGAACCCGTTTCTACGTCCATTTTTGAGACTCGCTGGGCAGCAATCGCCGATAAAATTCAAGGAAATGACGGAACTTGAGCATTTTGTGCATGGAAAAAATATGTTTGAAAGAGGTGTTGTCGAAGCTGTCTTGATAGACAATGAGACATCCAAAAGGGTCAATAATGTGACATTCAGTGAAGGAAGACTCAAGTTTGAGGATATTAAGCTTAAATATCAAATTTTGGACAAGGTATCCTCAACCCCAAAGCCATGGACATCCGAGCATGAAGAAAAGTTCAACAAAATCCGAAATTTACATCCAAAAGGCGAGGAAATGAGCGAAAATTTGTTCTGCCTTCAAACAGCTGTTCAGAATTCATGTGAGAATTTAGTGATCATGGATCGAGTCTTTTACATTTATGAGCAAATGAAGGTGAGGAATTTAAACTTGAAAGTGTCGATAAGGAAGCTGCAGAATGAGAAATTATCACCGAGGTGCTTGATCTTGATTGTTGAAAAAAGTTGACGAATAAAAATTTATAAAATATTTTTTGATGATAAAATTTGTGTTTTTTAATGCTTTGGTTTAGATTTGAGAATTCAAAATTGATTATTTAACTTTTGATATTTTTTTACATATTTAAACAATTCAGACTCGGCGTTGCCAGAAGCGTTGCCAGAGAACCCTTTTTGATTTTTTTGATTTTTCCAGTGTTTTTGACAAAAATAACCATTTCTCAAATTTTGACTTTTACAGCTATTTAAATAAATTTTAAAGGTTAATTTGATGAGTTTCTTATCGCTTTGAACTAGAAAACAGCTAGTTTAAACACGTTTCATCTAAATTACTTAATATTACCATAAAAGTTATCATTTTTATCTAATTTGCAGTCTTATCTCATTTGAAATTAGATCAAGTCAAGAATAGGCTCGTCACACGACGTTGTTGCTTTGAACTTCTGATTTTAAGATTGTAAATATTTTGCACATTTTAAATGCGACTTAATCGTCATAAAAACTGTTTTGACATTCTAGAAAACTATGAGAAATATTTTAAACACCTTTTTTTTTGTCAATTTTTAATATTTTTGGCAATGGCCTCATGTAAGTCACCTTCATTTCCATGGTTTTTACATTTTTTGGAGCTTCTAATCAAGCAATAAAACTAGTTTATTTCAACGTTTGTAATAAGAGCTTTTAGAGTTTAAGGCAATTACAATTATGACACATTGAATCAGTTCTGTGCAACCTTTATTATACATTCAACTGGCTCTTCTGACATATTCTAAGCTTACACTTATCATACCAATCACAATTGTGGATCAAGACTAAAGCAATCAGTTTCTAGTAGCATTGCAAAGAGGTCTTGTTTCCTCCTAAACGTTTTGAACCGTATGAAAAGCACGGCCTTCATGGCTACCTAAATGTCGGTTCCTAAGCATCCGTAAAAGCAAATCAGTATCCCGTGGTACACAGGTTGCTCACAATTGTCTTTTTAAAACAGTTATCTTTAATTCTTATTACAACTGAACAAATACACTAGGTAAATATTTTTACATCAACTATTTATAGCTACCATGTAAGATTAAGTAGTCAACATGAAAATTATGATATTGTTTTGATATCTGTGGTGACGTAAATTACGGTAAGATGTGGATTATTCTATTGTAATTTCTTTGGTTTTAGCGGTCGTTCATTTATGACGTCCGAAATGATCGGTCATTTTTCAAAAAGGAACAGTGGATTTCCAGGAATTTCTATTGTTCTTTTCTTGCTTACCCCCCGCCTTACATGGACATCAAATGGATGATTTTTTATTAAAACTGTTACAATTCAAAAAGCTGGTGTTAAATTTGGTCCATATAAAATGTTTATTTTGATTGCAGGCTAGGATATACATTTAAAATTAATTTCCAGCCTTAGTAGCCTGAGAAGCTAAAATATTAACAATAAAACTTAACATATTTTTTTAAAAAATAAAATTTTTTTTATTTTTATTCAATTTATTAGATAATAAAATAATCAATTTAATAATTAATCTTAAATCAAAATATGTTAAATTATGCCAAAATAAATGCAGATTATTAAGTATTTTGATTCCATATTCGATCCGAAAGCTTGCTTTACATAAATTCATAGTCAAATATCAACTAAGAACAAGCACATGTGGCATAGTTGAGGCTTCCACCTCGTCTTAAGCATGAGTAAACTTGAGATGCGGAGCATGCATCTGCTGTGTCAAGGAACACTGAAATGAGAAGAGATTTTTTTTATTGTTTAGTTGGAATTAAGATTGAATTTGGAATAAAGTTTGTGGAACTGTTGACTTTTTATTAAACTTGCGGCACTTTCAAGCCATGGACAGTCTGGCAATGATAACAGAAGAGACTTAACTGCGTATTCTTTAAGCTTTAAGGATAGATGTCCTTTGCTAGTCCCAATCAAGGGTGTGGAACTGAAGAATTACATTTTGATCATTTTTGATCATTTCATCAGTACCACACCCTTAGTCCCAATCAGCAACCATTTAAGGCTGTTATGTACTTACTCAGCAATGCGATGAGCACCAATATTAGGAAAAGTAAGAATTTCATCATTTTTGAGTTACAAACTTTCAAATTTTTTCGAATTTTTATGAATTTTGTTATTTTTTAATTAAGCTTTTATGAGTTTTTGCTTAAATTTGATCAATTTTACACTTTTATTTAAAATTTCAGAACTTTATCTTCTGACTGCCTTCTTTGAACTATTCAAATCAACTGAATTGGCTCCTTCACATTCCCTTTAACTTTTATACAGCCTGAAAAATATTTTCATTCAACTCATTTTATCACTTTCGATAAGAATCACGCTTTAGAAAATATTTACAAAAAATAAAATCCAGCAAACATTTGATAAGAAAATGTAGAATTTTAATGACGACATTAAAAATGCTGACAATGAGCAATTTAAATTATTTTTTGGGGTTCTTCTGATGAGTTTTAATTATTGACATTCATAAAATTCACGAACAACCCAAAAACAAAAAATCCAAAACTTTACTCAACATTATTTTACGATCCATCCCTTTAACATTCACCATTAAACTCAATATTTTTACTTCCACCTTCGCTGTTTTTCAACCCACTTTAGCTCATTTTCATTTATTTTCCGTGCCTCTTCTGTTGGGCATCGCAAAGGCGAAATAAGAGGCGAGCAGGCCTCATAAACAAAACATAAAAAAAGTGGAAAAGAGTTGCTATAGAAACTCATTTTCTCGTCTCTCATCCCATCGTGTTTCCTCATTTTTCTCCTTCGCGGATGAAAACCCATTCCAAATTTTAATTTCTTCATAAAATTTGCGTGGCCTCTGTTCGTTGAATGGGCCAAGAACTCGCTTGTTTTTCTGCTTTTGCCTTCTTATTTTTTCCGTCGTTTTCTCTTTCATTTCATTTATAAAATATAAAAAAAGGGAATGAGGAGAAAAGTCAATGGATTGTGAAGATTTATTTGTCATAGGGCGCATTATTTAAGTTTTATTGGGAATGGATGGTTCAGATGAGGATTGTATGCTGTTTGTTAATTATTAGAATCTTATGAAAAATTAAAGCAATGTTTTAACTTTTTAGAGTTACTATATAATCAATTTTGAAGCATCACTTTAGAATCTAAGCCTTACTTTTGAAACTTAAATTCAATATTAAATTGTAGCTTCAATATTAAGTCGTCGCATCAATATTAAGTCGGACCTTTAAAATTAAGTCGTAGCTTTAATATTCAGACTTTCTTCAATATTAAATCGTAACTTCAATATTAAGTCGTAGCTTCAGCATTAAGTCAGAGCTTTAAAATTAAGTAATAGTATCAAGATTAAGTCATAGCTCTAGTATTCTATGACTATAGTTCTATGGCTAGACTAAGTCTTGCATGATCAAGCTTTGCTTCAATATTAAATCGTTGCTTTAACATTATGTCGTTATGTCGTGGCTTCAAAATTAAGTCATAGCTCCAGTATTAAGTCGTAGCTCCAGTATTAAGTCTAAGCTCTAATATTCATTTGTCACTTAATTTACAATCCAAAATAATCCAATCTGCACCTCAAAACGCACCACATAACCACAAAAATCCAGTTTCTTTTTAAAAAATTGTTAAAAGGGAAAATTGAATGGATGACAAAAAAGAGAGCAGGATGAGTTAAGGGTGGCGATTCTAACTCGCGTAAGAGAAAAAAAGTTCCTCGCTTTTGATGGAAGCAGCATCAACACACAAAAAAAGAAGGAACGAGAAAAAGGAAAGTAATTTTCTTATGGACATGAATTTTATGTTTAGAATATGGGTTGTGGGTGGCAGTTGGGATGGTTGAAAGTGAAAGCGTGGATTGAAGGAGGTTGAAAAGGAAATTTAATCACATTGGAGGACTTTCCGCCAACAAAAATAAGAATCCATTTTGCCATTGCCGTTGGAAGGACGAACATAATTAATTTTAATTAGGAATGGACCAAAAAAAATAAATTTTTGTTTCGTGTGCTTTGGAGGAAGTGATTTATGAAAAGGTAATGGTGATGTTGGGGTGGAGGGAGTTGTTGACCTGGAGTGTGAGACACATTTGAATAATTTTTTATTTATTGTAAATAATTTTAATTAGGTACAATCATTTGGGAGGTTCTTGATGGTTTTTGGGGAATATTTTTGAGTTGTAGGTGTGACTGTGAATATTTAGATAGCAATTATGAGTTTAATGGACAGGATCCTTGAATTTTATGATGGTATATTGCTAAAGGAAGCAAAAACTTTGAGAATTTGCAGTTATTTGTTAGAAAATGGACAGAATTAGGCAGTTTATAAGGACGAATTAGCTGATTGAAGCTTAAAATTTAATAATTCTTGGTTTATAGGGCAAAATGGAGCTTTTCAAGATTCCTAAACGTGTTGTTGTACGTGCAGTTATAAACCTAGCAAAGATTCATTATCCTGAACCCTTTTGAGCCTTCCAAAACCCTCCAGGATCTCCTAGAACCTCTTAGAACGCCACTAAATCTTCTTGAACCATCATAAAGCTTGCCAAACACTTTTGAAATTACTTTGAACCTCAGTGACCCTTGCTGAGATCTCTCTGGACCCTCCTGCACCTTACTGAACCTATAAAAATCTATTTTGAATCCATTTAATCCATTATGGGCTCTATAAGTCTCCCATGAACCTTCCTGGTTCTTCATTAAACACTTTTGAACCCTTCTAAAATTTAATTGACAGCCTGAATCGACTCTGAGTCTTCATCAACTTCCCTGGACCCTCCAATGCCTTCCTGGTTTAAGATAAAATTACTTAAAAATTCAAACTGTTTTTTTTTCTCTCAAAATTCCATTTAAATTTCCAATCAAACAAACTTTTCTTTGATCAAGTTCAAAATTTTTTCATTTCTCAATCTCCATCAGCTTTCCTGAACATCAAACGAGACGTAAATGAGCACGGCTACTTAGCATCCATCAAGAACCTCACAAGCAAATCAAAAAACAAAATTTCCCAATCATTTTCCACGACTGAAAGTTTTTGAATCGAAATAAGAAACTGTCCACGTGTTTCTTTAGAAACATTTTTTTTGTCGTTAAATTAAAAAGAAATCGTAAAAGTGCAAAAAAGCATGAAGAAAGAAAAAAAATTTCCTTTGACGAGTGAAAAAAAGTAATTAAAATTTTCTTCTTTAAATTGCTTTCATTTTTTATGAGCTTCTGTATAGGAGGTGGGTTTTGGTGCAGGAGGACCCGGACTGATGATGACAAAAAAGTTTTCTGTCATTATAAAATAAAAATAAAGTTTGTTGGAAAAAGTTTTGAAGACTTTTTTTTTACTTTTGAGGAAGTTTTGTGAAGGTAAGAAAATTGTAAATTTGACTAATTAAAGGCAGGGTTGTGGTTTTAGAGATGACTGAGACTTTGCTTAGACTAGCAAGAGATGCTGATAGACTTCTAGAGTTTATGGTTTATTTCAAATGGTTTTAGTGATGACAATAGCTGCGAGCAGTGCGATTTTGATCGTTATAACATGAAATTGAGTCTAAAGTACCATTTAAATCACTTGGAGTGCTTATATGAGTATGTTTGGCATAAAGTTGGTGTTTATCTTGTAGAAAAACAGAACATGAAGGAAATTAGATCTAAATGTGCACAATATTGACTCTATTGTGTCATATACAAATGATGTTCTTCGAAAACTTAGGATTTTGAACCCACTTCACCATTCTGTTACAAAAATTTTAACGTAAAGGTGCCCATTCCCCGTCTTAAACTAAAGCATCATTTATGAACGCTCTTTTACGATTTTCTGATGCTATTTGAAGCTATGAAAGCCAATGAAAGCTTGCTGAGCAAAAAAATTATTAAAAACGTTCAGGAAATCTACTCTGCCTTAGAATTGTGCTTATAGATATTGTAACTTACACTCGATTTTTTTTTAAATGTTATTCAAAATATTTTTTTTTACTTTATCCAGCCTAAAATCAAGCAATTTGAATACACAACATTACAACTCATGTCAAAGTCACAGTCACAGTCATCATAACCATCATGTCCATGCAAATTAGTCAAATGCTTCACAATTCTTCATTCACACAACTAATTTTTGATAATCATTCTAATGACACAATGCAGACAATAAATTACTAATCATATCCAACATAAAAAAAAAGAATTTTAATGCACAGAAATCTAGGCATGATGCTGAACATTAATTTTCAATGCTAAAAATCCTTTAATTTTGGACAAAAAATTCATTAAAAATTCAAAAATCATAAAAAAAATCTACAAAAAAAATTTAAAAATGTAAAAAAAATAAAAAATCTACAAAAAAAATCAGAATAAATGAAAATTGAACAAAAAAAAATTAAAACAAAAAAAATCTTTAGGGGTAAAATTGCATTTGCATGAGGGACAGATGAGAACAACAGCAGCCAAAAAAAAATCGTCACTCACAATTATTCAGACTCACAAACTCACTCTGAATAATTAAATTTATTTCAATGCCACGTGTGTGGATGCATAAGAACGGTACATTGTATTTGTCATGTGATTGTTTTTTTCATATGGATGTGAGTTCAACCCTTTTTTGCTTGTCAAACAGTTACCCAGGATTTTTTTTGTTTGCAGATGAGGATGAGTACAGTTAGGTTGAGGAATTTTTGGCAGATGCTGATTGATTTTGATTTTATTGAGTGTGTTATGGTTGAAATTATGGATTTGGTGAGTTGTTTTGATTGAGATTTTGGATTTTAACTTAATTGAGGCATTTATCTTAGGTTTGAATCAATAGTTTGACTGAAACATCAATCGGAGGACTTCACTAAGGCTTAGGACGAAGTATTTATCGTCAATCTTTATGTAATTACTTCATCTTAGTAAAAGTCAAAAGCTTGAACACAATCTTAACCGAAGGACCTCATATAAGTCTAGAGTGAAGTCACTCTGTCCCAATTCAAGCCACTTCAACTAATTTGAATGACTAAACCTGATCAATATGAGTCTAAGTCTTTTAATTCTCAAAATATCATCAATGTTCATCAAAACTGTCATAAATGATTGATTTCATCAGATAACCAACATCCTTAAATTCAACTCTTACTTACTTACTTCTTCGGCTAAGGCGCACGTGAGCCCATTGCCCCGTTCATAGATCGTCAAAAGACAGCTCTTTCCTTCAAGACCTTCTGCCAGTTCAGGTTATTAAGGACTTTAGCGCCCTTATCAACACATCCAATCCAGGTATTCCTTGGTCCTCATCTGGATCTCTTCTGCAACATACACTCTAATTATTGAAGCATCTTGTGGACGTCTAAACACATGTCCAGCCTATCTCAAGCAATTTGCACGGAAAACCGTAATAATGAAATCAACTCTAACCACATTAAAGTCAACAAAAAACAAAAGACATCCCAACAAAACAAAAGCCGGCCATTTCAGCCTCATCTCCATCCATTTTAATCCATTATGTAAAACAAATGAAAAATTTTTCCTCATTTTTTATTCTATTTACCAAATGAATTAAGCAAATCTCATTAAAAAGTCTTCTCGAATTTCCATTTTTTTTCTTCCCTCGGAAATTTCAACCCCAAAGAAGATAGCTACTATGTAAAAGATATCCAAAAGAAAAGAAGAGCCGAGCACCATCGAACATTAAACAGTAACAACAGTAAAAGAGTCATTTTCTCCCTTTTTTTTATCATCCTCGCTCTCTCATTTCCCATTTAATTCCGCGCCTGTCTTATCACGAAACAAAAAAAAAATATTTTTTTTAATCGATTTTTTTTCTCCTTATTTTGCATAAAGAAGCACAAGCGGCAAAAAGGTTTTTTTTTACGACTACACAGAAGATGAATTAAAAAATTTTCTGTACTTTTTTTTACCCCTTTTGTTGGCTGTTATGAACGAATCGACTGCTTTTACTCGGTGAATGTGATGCCTCGTGTGTATTACGATATTAAATTCTACTACTGATGCTCTTATTTCTTCTGTGCTGTGTACTATGTGCTGTGCTGTGCTGTGGGGTAGCAATGAGGAAGACGATGAAGATGAAATGAATGAACGTGGAATAAAGAAGATTTTACTTGATTTAAGGATTTGTGAAGGTGGATAGAGCGCAGTTTTTTGATGATTTTGGAGTAGTTGGAGTAGATTAGCTAGGATTGAGCTTCGCACGGATTTTTCTGAAGACTCTGGCATTGCTGTTGATAAAAAAGGTTACGAATCTAACCAAAAGCAGATCTGAAGGCGATTGAAGTGACTACTTAGAGTGCCCCAAACCATTCAACCAACTAAAGCTAGTAAAATTTGTCAAAAATTCCTCAACATATCCAGACAATCTGCATCTTCACCCCCCTCAAAATATCAAAATCAGCGCTCACAAAAAAATGTGAGGCACACGCGGGATGAAGTAAAAAAAAATTCGTTACCCAGACATTTGATATGCAAATTAAAGGGAGAAATGAGTGGGTAAGAATTTTTTTTTTCTTTACTCTTTATGTTCTGCGTCGTCATTAAAAAATTGAAATTCAGGGTGCCGTAGAAGAGTTAGAGATGAAAAAAAAAAATTTAATGTGATGTAAAAACAAGTCGAATGCCTTTATGGAAAGGAAAACAGTAGAGAAATGTAAAGGAAGAATGTTGATTGTGTTGGTGATGTAAATGAATCAATGAAAAATGCTTTTATTTACATTTTTAAAAAAGTTGAAAGGAATAGGATGATTTCTTGTGAAGGAAGATGCTAAGAGAATTTTATGAATTTGGGGAAATGAGTAGCTTTTTTGGTAATATGAAAAATTGAAAAAAAAAAATAATAAATTGTTCGAAAACTTTAAAAAACTAGAAAATTAAAAAAAATTTGAGAAAAAAATCAAAAAATTCAAAACTCAAAAACTTCAAAAAGTTAAAAAAAATTCAAAACATTTAAAAAATTCAAAAACTTCAAAAAATTAAAAAAATTCAAAACATTTAAAAAATTCAAAAACTTAAAAACAACTTCAAAATGTTAAAAAAAACCTCCAAAAAGTTAAAAAAAAAACAATAAACAAAAAAAAAACATACAAAAATCCAAAAAATTTATAAAATACCAAAAAAATTCGAACATTTTTAAAAATTTAAAAATTCATAAAATTTCAAAAAAAATAAAGAAAACAAAAAATTCAAAAAAAAATCTAAAAGTTCAAAAAAATTCAAAAAAATCAAGCAATTCCAAAAAAAAATCAAGAAAATACAAAAAATTCAAAAAAAAATCCAAAAAAATAATTCGGTTAAAAAATTTCAATCTAGCTTTTCAAATTGATTTATTTCCTCTCATTAAAATTCACATTTTATTCTAAACAGCACAAAAAAAATTAAATTTCAATACCCATAAGAATATGATCCGACACTCACAACAGCAAAAACAGCCAAAAAAAAATTCATTAAAAAAATCGTCCCTCACACATTTTTTTATTCATTATTCATCTGCACTGCACATTGTGTACCCAGAAGATTTTTGCATATCGTTACCCAGGAAATGTACGTGCTGCATCATTTACATACTCACAATATATTTTTAATTCAACCCTATCAATGCGCTTCTCGTGTATGCCTGTGGCACACGAAGATGTTAAATGAAAAAAATTACCCCTCACAAAAATAATTACACTAACACATGCAAGAGCCTCATAACGGTACAGATCTGCATATCTCATGAAAAATCTTCTGAAATGAGACTTCAATTTTTATTTTAAAATAAAAAATTTAAATAAAAGCAAAAAATGCTGAGGGTGGAAAAAAGGGTTTAAAAAAATTGTTCACCCTGACAAAAATGCTACGGTAAAATGAGTTAGTGCTGAGTGTAAAAGGGTTTCAGATTATTAAAAAAATCTTTTTAATTTTTTTGAATAGTTGTGCATATGCGATATATTTTTTTGGGGGTTTGTACGCTAGTGATGGATGTCATGAGGAGGTTGAGGGTGTCTTAAGACTTGAAGAAGCATTTCAACATCAAAAATCAGTGACTTATTCAGCTACTGTATTTAAAAAGCTCACATTTCAAAAGACATCACTGACGAACGACCCCCTTATGTAGATTGCGATAAATTTTCAGTACCTCTTGTTGATTTATGATAGTAAAATGAGAATTGCATTAAAATATGCAAATTAATCCGGTTTTAAATGACGGCTTCAGCAATCTGCTGGGTTATGTGCCACGATTGCAATTTATTGCAGCAATGCTTCATCAGTTTCTCTAAATTCATTGAGATTTTGCTGGAATCATTCACCAAATGTCAAATTTCATCACTATACCCACTCCTTCTCCCCATAAATCTCCCCAATCTCTCACCACATTTAACTAAAACAATGAATTATTGTCAGCATTTATGAGGCACTTAGATGCTCAACAAATAGAAATAATAAGAAGTAGGCAGTAAGAGATTGTAATCGTTAACTTTTATGAATCATAATCGCTGCTGCGCTTTTTATTTCACAATTTTTTATCTTCTCACTATAGCCGAAAAATGTGTCTTTTGGCCTTTCATGGAACGAAGAAAAAGAAGAAGAATTTAAATCTCACAAAACAAATTTTTATGATTTTTTCCATGCATAGACGAAAGTTGGGAATGTATTGGGGTGGTGTGAAAGGTGATTTGTTGAGGGTTGGAGCGCATTCTGAATCTT